GCGGGAGAGGGTGCTGCCAAGATATGTAAATTGGTCCACTGCTTGCAGCTTTTGTCCCTTCACTGTGATGGTGGGCACTTGATGCTGAGCTTTTGGAGCTGGCTGGGGCATCCCTTCGGTTTTCTTTGTGTTGATGAGAAGGCCGAAGTTGTCGTATGCTGCTGCAAATTTGTCCATGCTGGCTTGCATTTCCTGCTCTGATCCAGCATTCAGGGCGCAGTCATCAGCAAAAAGGAGATCTCGTAACACAGTCTCTTTTATCTTGGTGACAGCCTGGAGTCTTCGCAGGTTAAACAATTTCCCATCGGTCCTGTATCTCAGTCTGATTCCCAAGGAACTGTTCTGAAAGGCGTCTGACAGCATGGCTGAAAACATTATGCTGAACAGGGTCGGTGCCAGCACACACCCTTGCTTGACGCCGTTTGTGACGGGAAAGGCCTCTGAAGCTTCTCCATCATCCAAAACACGAGCCGTCATGCCGTCGTGGAACTGACGTACCATCAAGATGAATCTGTCAGGGCACCCAAACTTCGACATGATGCGCCACAGACCTTCGCGACTGACAGTGTCAAAAGCCTTGGTGAGATCCACGAAGGTGGTGTACAGTTCACGATTCTGCTCTTGACACTTCTCTTGAAGCTGTCGGGCTGCGAAGATCATATCCACCGTGCCACGCTCTTTGCGGAAGCCGCACTGTGTCTCGGGTAATAAACCCTGTTCCAGGTGGTTAATCAGACGATTCAGCAACACTCGTGCAAGGATCTTACCTGCGATGGAAAGCAGTGATATTCCTCTATGATTATCGCAAACTTGTCGATTTCCTTTCCTCTTGTAGAGGTGTACGATAGACGCGTCTTTCAGTTCCTGAGGAATAGATCCTTGATTCCAGAAGGACTGGAACAGCTGAGTGAGTTTGTTGACAAGCACTGCACCACCACCCTTATAGACTTCCGCTGGAATCGCATCAGATCCTGGGGCCTTGCCACTGGACAGCTGGCTGATGGCCTGTAAGGTTTCAGTCTCTGATGGTGAGACATCCAGGCTGTGGTTGATATCCGCCTGGGGCATTCTATCAATCGCCTCGTTATTGATGGAAGATGGGCGGTTCAGTACGGATTGGAAGTGCTCAGCCCAACGCTGTAAAATCAGAGCCTTCTCAGTAATGAGAGTTGCACCATCTGAGTCCAGTAGAGGGGAACTCCCTGAGGGCTGAGGTCCATACAAGGATCTAAGGGCTTCGTAGAACCGTTTGGCATCGTTTCTATCAGAAAACTTCTGGATTTCATCTGCTTTGGCACTCAACCAGGAGTCCTGCATCTTACGAAGCTTGTTCTGTACGATCCTGCGAATGTTGTTGAAGGCATTTTTCTTAGCTGTTGACGATGGGTCATTCTGGTGAGCACGGTGAAGGCGATGCTTTTCAGCAAGTATGGCCTTGATCTCTTCATCGTTTTCATCAAACCAGTCCTGCTGTTTCCTGTGTGAGGGTCCAAGAACCTTTAGTGCAGAAGAGTGCACAATATCCCGGAAGCGTTCCCAGTCCTTCTCAGCATTTTCCTCTAATTGCAGCTCTAAAAGTTGGTTGCCAAGATCTTCTGCTAGTAAAGTTGCTGTGTTGGGGTTCCTCAGTCTACTGACATTGATCTTTTTCATCACAGCTTTGTTTCCCTGCGGACGTCTCTTTGGCTTGATGCGAAAGCTTAATTTGGAGATGATAAGTCTGTGGTCAGTCCAACAGTCAGCACTCGGCATGGCCTTGGTCACCCTTACATCCTGTCTGTCTTTCCTCCGCACAATGACATAATCAATGAGATGCCAGTGCTTAGAGCGTGGGTGCATCCAGGACGTCTTTTTGCGAGTGGGCAGGCGGAAGATGGTATTGGTGATGATCAAATCATGAGCCGCACATGTCTTCAGTAATAGTAGGCCATTGCTGTTACATTTACCGATTCCATTTTTTCCAATGACGCCATCCCAGGCAGTGTGATCAGATCCTACTCTCGCGTTGAAATCGCCAAGTAGAATCAGCCTGTCAGTGCGCTTCACGGATGAGAGTAGGGCATCGAGATCTTCATAAAACTTGTCCTTTACTTCATCCGGATTCGTCATTGTGGGCGCGTAAGCGCTGATCAGTGTGGCTTGCTTTCCTCTCGGTAGTGGAAGATGCAGTGTCATGAGTCGGTCATTCACGCCCTTGGGAAGACTGGCAAGTTTGCGGACAAGATGATTCTTAACCGCAAAGCCAACTCCAGATTCACGACGTTCGTCACTGCTGCGTCCACGCCAGAAGAATGTGTAACCACCTCCTGTTTCCATGAGCTGACCTTCATTTGCTAGACGAGTTTCACACAGTGCCGCAATATCGATGTTAAATCTTGTGAGCTCTCTGGCGACCAGGGCTGTTCTTCTTTCTGGGCGGTCTGCTGAAGGGTTGTCCTGAAGCGTGCGTACGTTCCATGTGCCAATAGTGAGTGGTGTCACCTTGCATTTTGTTCGAAATTTTATTGTTCGACCGCATGAGATGGGATCCCCTCCAGCCGCGGTAAGCTGGCCAGGGTTCTGTGAAGCAAACAATGTTTAGGGCACCTTTTCTAGCCCCTTCCTCTTACTACGGAGGTGAGCAGTGCAATCCTAAAGAGGGCTGCTCAGTCACTCAGGTAGACGCCGAATCCAGCTGTTGCTTCCACCAGCAAGAAGACGACCATTAGACCTGAGCCGCCTGTGTGCAGGTCCGCGGCTACAGCTCCCAGTGTATCCACACCTGCTGCTTCGTCGCTCGCCCGTCGCCACAGGACTTAGGAGATGTCGAGATGTCAAGACTTGCGCGTGAATTGGATTAAAGTGAGGGAGAGGTGCGCATAGTCAGCCTCACTCTCTCTTCCCAGATTCCATCTTACTCCAATGGCAGGACTAAAGTCGAGACGGTTGGAGATGGGCTGGGCGCAGTGGTTGACCAGGTCATCTTTCGTGTCTTGCCGTGCTCTTAGCGTACCACATCGCTTGCAGAAACCACCTTCATGACCGTTGGTCCTATTCTAGTAGGTCTCATCCGCTCGATCCGCCGGAGTCTGTCTTCACATGCTCGGGATAGACAAGTCCCTATCTCACCGAAGGTCGATGACCCGACGGCTACTCTCAACCTGGTTTAGCCAGCCTGTCGAAGCTGTTGCCCGGGGTGTGGCCGCTGCACATGCTACAGCTACTAGGAGCCACAGGTGAGAGTTGAGTGACAAGTGGGGACCAAAGGTGGACGAGCTGCTCTAAAAGGACACGACATGCCCGTACATCGGAGGTGCTGCCCCTCCCTGAACACCCCATACACCCCTAACGGAAGCTAAAGGAAGAGCCACACTTGATTTTAGTTCAAATGAATGCAAAGAAAATGATTGCTTATTCATACTGTATTCAGGTTTACAGAGAGCTGAAAAAGATGTGGTGGTGGAAACTGCAGGTTTTCAGCCTAATGAATATTTTGGGCTAGGACATGAATACACAAAGGAGCAAATTAGTAGCAGCAAATACTGAAACTTAGAAATCTATAGAAAAATAGTATGTACAATAAGTAATTAGAACAGTTCAATATTTATCTATAGTATTGGTGTTAAGATAGACATCAATATAGACATTCAGCAACATTTGTTAGACTTACTAATTTTCAAATGTTGAAAATGCAAAGCAATGCCATCTTTAGTTGAAATGAGAAATTAATATTAGTTGTTCATATGCAGAAGTCATCACACACAAAAAAAACCACTGGTGCTATCTAGGGAGGTAAGCGACTAGTTGACATCCTGATAAGCAAATGCCTATCCGGTAGTTGTGTAGTGATTCAACTAGTTGCTTCCCTCCCACCCCTTGCTGCCTCAGTCAGAGAGAGGCAGCAAGGCAGGGGAGCAGGAGCCAGCTTAAAGCCAGTTCCCTCCAGCACCATCTCCATGTGGGGACTGGGGAGGCAGAGTCCCAGTATCTGGGACTGGGTGTGAGCCAGGACAGCTGATTCTCGGCTTGCGCCTGGACCCCCCTGCTGCATCTCTGCTTTTTAAATGTATTAAGAGCCTGACAGCTCTTAATACATTTAAAAGTTAGAGGCGCAGCGGGATTCGCTCGTGGGATCGGGGGCTAACCCTGCTGAGGCTCTGCAGTTTCCCCCCTTATCGACTAGTTAAATAGTCAATGGAAATTCCATCAACTACTCAAGTAGCTGATTAAACACAATTTAACATCCCTAGAGCTGTCACTCTCACTGGCAGCCTCAAGCAGAGATTAAATAAGATATGAAGGCCCAAGCTACCCTGTAGGGATGGTTTTTAGATTACATTAATTTAAAAAGTAAACTTTTGTGTTCTCTTTTGGGAAGATCTAGTCTCTGACAGTGTATATAGTTTTCAAAATAAATGCAGATTATGAAATGGATTAGATGGAAATATATGTTGCTAGCAACCCTATATTAAGCTAAAAATTCTAGGCATGGGTAAAATTTGTCAAATTTGCTATCATCTTAATACACTAAACTCTTAAAAGAAATGTAAAGAACTTGTTTGTGAAATTAGGAATGCTGATCCCCTTTAAAGTTACTTGTACAGGAAGTTCTTGTCATTGGCTTGTTCTATGAAATCTTACTGTGGTTGCAAGGTGGGGGGAATTAGAAGCTGGCAATGAGGAGCCTAATGATCAAATGAGCAGTTCACTATTTTAAAAAATGATTGGCCTATGCTATATATTTTCTTAAATACCTAGAACACTTTAATATACCATGAAATGAGAGATGTCCTTGAAATGTATATGTACTTTAAACATGTAAATGCATCTACTTTCCATATTTTCTCTCTACATTTAGATAACTGTTCTTGTTTTAAGTGGGTTCTCTGATTCTAAGAGGATCTGAAGATAATTATTACACTGGTTACTGTTATCAATGAACATATTACAAAGCAATTTTCTGGTATGGCTATAGCTCACTTAAAATAGCTTCCATGATGACTAATCTTACTTTTCAACAGGAGAAAATTCACATCCAGTTAATGCAGTCTTTTGAGAAAGAAGAGAAGCCCACAAAAGATGAAACAGAAAAGGAAAAATCCAGTGATAAATTGTCAAGAAAAATGTTATCAAGAGGTTTGTTATGACACTGCTTTTAAATTATATTTGAAGTAAATTATCTAGATGTCCATATTAATAACCTTGAGTGACTGATGGAATAATTACTGTGAATAATTCTGTTGGGCTGAAATGTATATTGTTTTTTAGCAAAGTCTATGGGCCTGATTCTTCTTTGGAATCTCCAGGATCTGCTTGTGCATGTACAGTTCCTGTGTGTAAATACTATATACACAACTTTTGATGCATTAACATTTGCACTTGGGTGAACATCAGAGCTCTTTCCTTAATTTGTGAAGGTGGTGGTTGAGAAAGGGGTGTAATTTACTTACAAGTTAGAGAAACAGAAGACTGATAAGCCTAATTTGACCACCTCTCTTTCAATGTATCTGTTTATGGTCAGTGTAACACTTTGTGTTGAGAGAAAAAATGCTTAAATGTCATTCACTGCCAGAAACCTAATATTGAGAAGGTAATTTATGTACATAATGATGGGAGGGAAAAGTCAATGAGAAAATAAGTTGATTTTAATTTTCTGAGATGTAATTGAAACTTAACTCATTTTTTAAAACAAGAAAATCTTTTATTGGGCATGGGGAAAGGAAATCTATCTCAGAAGGAGTTCCCCAGTTTGCAGGAGAGAATGCATGCTACAGCAGACCTATTAACATATTCCCCCCTTCACTTTGCAGGCTGGCATGGATGTAGTGAAGATGTTGCCTGCCTTATCTTCACACATCTTTTGGGATAGTTGATTGACTATTGGGGAAAGGGTTGTACACAGGAGGAGTCTCATTGTACTACTCCTTCCCAATGTTCATGAAAAGCCAATATTCTTACTGAAATATGTAATCGCTTCTTCAGAGGTCGGTAGAGGAAAAAATATTTCTAAGACCTTTGGAATGAAGATGGGAGTGGATTAATAGTAGGAGTAAAAATATCTTGAATATTGACAGTGTTGTGGACTGGTTTGTTAGGGACGCACTATTCTTTTCAGTTTACCAAAAAACAATTAGAGGATAACTGAGGGTACATCCACGCTGCAACACTATTTTGAAATAACTAGCGCTATTCCGAAATAACTTAGTCTGCATCTGCATAGCAGGCAGTTATTTGAAAATAGTGTCAAAATACTGTCAAACCGGAAGACTTCTTATTCCAACTCTGTAACCCTCATTGTCAGAGGAAGAGTGCTCTATTTCGAAATAAATGCTGTGTAGACGCTCCCTATTTCAAAATAACTTATTTTGAAATAAGATACGCAATTGATGTAGCTCAGTTTGCGTAGCTTATTTCAAGGTAAGCCCTGCTGTGTAGACACACCCTGAGATAGCAGATATGCAAAAAATAATATAAATTTGTTCCTTCCTGTGGTGCACAACACTTTCTTAAATGCAAAACTTAGAATATATATGTCAGTTAATGGGTGATCTTTAAGTTTTAGATCCGCTTTTGTTCAAATAAGTTATCCCGAAAAACGTTTCCAGACATCTTGAATTAAACAAATTGGGCTGTAAATGCCATAAAACCAGTATTTTTTTAATGAAATTTCTAGTATTTAACATGTATTTCAAATCCATAACAACCATTCTTCTGGCATTTCAGTCCCTTTTGTTTTTGTTGAAAATGAGAAGTTTACACAAATGAAAATAGTTGGGGTACAGTACTTAACTGATGTCACCTTCCCCCCCCCCAAGTTTGAAATTAAGTTTTGAATAGTATCAGGGTTGGGGAAAACCACACCCCGATGTTGTTTTTAACCTAAGCAGTGTGTTTAATATGTTCACTAAACAATTTATGAAAGAGATGGGGAAATTAAAGGTAGAATAGTGGAGACAGGCAATTGTTGTAAGTCATCTTGGTACATGCCTGTTAGTAGTTTTAAGCATTTTGAAAATAGAAACTTAACCCAAAATTAGAGTTGAGTTTTCCATTGATGATCACTGAATTGTTCTTGCTTAAAAACTTGATGATCAAACACCTTTAATAGAATAATTTAATAGAATTTAATAAAAGAACAAAAATAAAGAGCACTTCCTGTTTCAGCATCATTCATGTTTTACTAGTAATGCTCTTGGAAATTTGGCAGTTTGTTTTCAAGAGCAGTTTAATGCAGACTGGATTAAGGCAATCCAGAATTTTAAATTCTCTTTCTGCTCCTTTGGCTCTATTCCTGCATGGTGCCCCTTTCTGCTGTAACCTAGTAATATTTGTTGGAGCAGAACTATTGGCATGAGACACCAACAAGAGGTCTCCTGTTCTGGTGACAGAGTGTACTAGTACTTTTCTTTGGTAGACTGATGGCTCCCTGTTCCAGTGCTCCGGCTTCTTCAAGAGAAGAGAAACTTCAACTCTTATCTGCCTGAGCAAAGAACATTCTAAGGGCATGTCTACACTAGGAAACTATCTTGATATAACTAAATTTGAAATAACTCCTGAAATAACTATTTTGAAATAAGCTTATTCCCCCAGGAATAAACAGGAGTACAGATTTTGAAATAACCAGCCTGTTATTTTGAAACAACAGTCTTGGTAATATGGCTGCTCCGCTTATTATTTTGAAATAATGGGGGTACTGTAAACCAGAGCTAGTTGTTCACCTCCCCACAACCTCTGAAGAGAGATGTCTTGGTCTCCTCACTACTGCTTCCAGTAATAGAACTTTTGTGTACCCTTTCTCTGTAATCTGTGGGTGGCAGCTCTCTTCTGGCTGCCAGGAGAGGATTGGCAGTGAAGGCTCCCTCACTGACCACTAGAGGCAGCTGGGGCCAAGCAACAAGTCTATACTAATTTTCATTTGGAAATGGGCTGGAGCCTCAGTATATTTTTAACATTACAGCCCTAAGAATTAGACCAATAGGAGGTGCTCAGATGTTGCAGCCGTGGGTTCCAGTACATGGTACTAAAGTCGATTAAAATTTCTTTGTATATTGCCTATTCTGAGACACAAAGCATAAGGTACCCAAGCTAATAGATTGAAATGGAAGGAACCAGAAAAGGCACTACATAATCTGAAAGGTTTGTTATAGTTACAGGATGAAAGTTGTTGAAGAGAGGTCTCAGAAGGTCTTTCTTAAATGTGTAATTCCCCTGAAGGACAGGTACACTGAACATGAGAAATTCCACTAAAGGAGAGGTACACTGAACACGAGCTTCTAACCATTCAGGAATAAATCTCACATCACAAAAATTAGACTTGTATTTTGCAAAGAATTACATGTTGTCTAGGGCAAATCTATAATGCTTGAAAATATGCAGTTACTTCTGCTGACTACAAAAGTAATAATAAAACCTATGATTTCATATTGAATCTTCAAGGTTAGATTTTGTTGCTTTTCCTTAGTTACTATAGAGACAAGGTAGGTTTTTTATCGCACCAACTTCTACTGGTAAAAGAGAGACTTTTAAACTATACAGAACTCTTCCTTGCTTTTTGGAGACTTGATTAGCTAATGTGTAGTGTATGCATCTAAATCAGGAAAGGGCAATAATTTCTAATGGGTGGGGGCCACTCCAAGATTTTGGTAAGTGGCCAGTGGCCACACTTTTCTATGGGGGGCTGCAGGGACGGAGGTTGGTGTAGAAGGGAGCTTGGGGTACGGGACAGGGGTGCAGGAGAGGAGGGTATGGGGTCTGAGAGGAGTTTGGGTGAAGGAGGGGGTTGTGACCTGAGGCACAAGATTTGGTTGCAGGGTCCAGGATGGGATACAGATACAGGAGAGGATTCTGGCCTGGTGGAGGGATGTAGGAGCAGGTGCAGTGTCTGGGAGGAAGTTGGGGTGTGGAAGGGGGTGAAGTGCTAGAGATAGGCTCTGGCCAGGAGACACTTACCTAGGCAGTTCCCAGCCAGCAGCACTTCTCTGCCTGCTATCAGCCCCAGCCACTCCATTTCATGTGGCTCTGTATGTTGCGCAGGGAGGCTTCGCATGCTGCTCTCACCCCCCAGAAAAATCTCCCCACTCCTATTGGCCAGTTTCTGGGCATTGGGAACTGAGATTTTGTTAGAGATGGGAGCAAGGCATGAATCCTCCCCGCATACTGCAGAGAGCAACAGAGAGCAGGTAGGAACTTGGATTGTCACTGCTCCCTGCCACAGAGGTGGTCCACAGGCCAGATTAAAAGACTTGAGGCCCAGATCCGACCTGTGGGCTATATCTTGCCCACCTCTGATCTAAATCTTAGATTTACTAGATGCCTAGTTCATTCATTTGTATGAGCAGGACTTTACACTTTTAATATAAGCAACTTATTCAAAGAATGAGCACATGATCTTGTCAACGATGTTGTTAATTTGTTTGTAGATTCCAGCCAAGAATACACAGATTCAACTGGCATAGATCTACATGAATTTTTAGTAAATACACTAAAAAGTAATCCCAGGTAAGTTAAATTAAAATGTTTTGATTTAACTTAATTTTGCTACCTCTTATGTTTTTTAATTAATCTGATGTACATTGAGAGCTTTCACCGGAAACACCTTGGCTGTGTCTACACTGGGCCGCTTTTCCGGAATAAGCTGCGAGCTGTCTACACTGGCCCTTGAATTTCAGGAAAAGCAACGATGCTCTACTGTACAAAATCAGCCGCTATTCCGGAAAAACTATTCTGCTCCCGCTCGGGCATAAGTCCTTATTCCAGAACACTGTTCCGGAAAAGGGCCAGTGTAGACAGCCCAGTAGTCTTTTCCGGAAAAAAGCCCCGATTGCGAAAATGGCGATCGGGGCTCTTTTCCGGAAAAGCGCGTCTACATTGGCCACAGACGCTTTTCCAGAAAAAGGGTTTTTCAAAAAAAGCACCCTGCCAATGTAGACGCTCCTTTTCCGGAAAAACTGAAAACAGAATACTATTCCGTGTTAAGTATTTCCGGAAATTCATGCCAGTGTAGACACAGCCCTTGGCTTGCTAAGGTCTTAGACATGATCTTTTATACTTGATGTGGGGTGTTGAAACATTTTAAAATGCTGGCTTTCCTGTACCCTAATTGACCTGGACCTACATGTATCCATGTTAGAACTTCACTAGGATTACTTGTGTTTGCAGGAATAACATCCTTGTGTAATATTTGTACTGGGTTGTGAAAAAAAATTGGTCTGTTACAGTACTAACTTGGTGTTGAATAACTGGTCCTGAGGTTTGTTCTTTTTGCAGTATGTCAATACTTTTTAGATTTAGTTATAGTAAAAAAAAAAAAAAAGTACTCTTGAATTCACTCATTGGCGTTGCCAGTATGGGCCAGATTCTACGTCAAGTTATATAAGTGTAAATTGCAATCACTTTAGAAGAAGCTTTACCCGTGGAACCAAGATGAGGAATATGACCCTTTGTGTCTACAAAATGGGTGTTCTGAGTTCATAACCATCACCTCTTCTTATCAGTGCCACATAACTAATATAGATACTCTCTTTTTCTGCTTTGAACATCAAGAAACAAATGCTCTCCTCGTCTCTATGGGCCTCCAGAGTTTTTCTGGCCACAGATTTGACAGTTCTAGTGAGCAGGCTTTGGGGGTACTGGAAAAACTACTTGAGTTCCAGAGAGGAATGGGGGCAACAGGATACACTGAACATACACTGCTCTTCCTCATAAGTAAGAAGAGGTTTCAGGGCCAAATAGAGACATGTTAGGCAACATCAGCCTCCCAAGAACAGCTCTGATATCACTCTGTAATCTTTGGGAGAATACTCTAATGCACAGCCAAGAAACTAAGGCTGGGTTTTGAGGGATACATTCTTATTCCAGAATTGTTTTAGGTGGTGGTGGTTTAAAAAATAATCAGGAAATACCATCTCAATTTTGGTGATTGAGCCTGCATAACTGTCAGTAAGAAAAAATCTAAATTAACTCAAAGATAGTGTGAAGTTTGTATATCAGTTATGGAGGAGAGAGGTATGTGGCATGCAAGGTGTCACTTCTAAAGTTATTTCCTTACAGTAACTGCACTTCCACTGTAAAGGAAATTATATGTGAATATTAAAGGCAAAATAGATCTCTGGTGCTGGGAGCAGTCTAGCAAATCTTATATTAAAGCATCAGAATGTATACAACATTTTGACCTCGCTCAATTTCATAGAACTGTAAAATGAATGTATAGTATGTTTCTGAAAACAGTTTAAAAAAACAAAGGTTTAAATGTCAGAGCTTGATTTTTGTACTCTTCTTTTCAACTGCCAAAACACTCTCCCTTTTTGTGCACATCTGATTTACCTACCTTATACCATCCCCATCTCCAGGTATGTGAGTCCAAATTTATTCTTAGTTCAATACTATTGTGGGTATGTACTGGTTTAATTGGTGTGGTTAACTACTTTTTTAAATTCTGAATGGGGATGTCAATGTGCAGTCGACTATGAGATAAACTGATAAGCCTAGGCTTATCCGTTAATCTTGTTGACTACACACATCCCTCCCTCTCTTCTTCCCCCTCCCCCCATTGCCACCTCTGTATCATGTAAGCGAGTAGTCATCTATTCAACTATCCGATAATCTTACGCTTGTTGGGTGGTCAAATGGAGTTATTGACTACTTGCTTCCCTCCCCTTGAGAGGCAGCAAGGAGTGGGGGGACAGGAGCTAGTGCTGGGGGGAACCAGCTTAAAAGCCGGTTCCCCCCAGCACCATCTCCAGCTCTATTAGAGGCAGCAGGGGGCAGAATAGGTGAGGTAGCTCTTGCAGCAGCCCCTGTTCATGGAGGTCCCAGCTCGCCATGGGCAGGGGCTGTTCCAGCAGCAGCCACCGTCCACAGCCTGCTCTGGCCACTGTGAACAGGGGCTGCTTCTGGAGCAGCCCCGGCTCATGGCCAGCCCAGACCGCCGTGAACAGAGGCTGCCGGATCCGGCGTGAGCTGGGACCGAGCAGTCCCAGCTTGCACTGGTCTGGGACGCTGCTCCTCTACATTTTAAACCCCAACAGTTCTTACTACATTTAAAATGCAGAGCCGCAGTGGTCCAGAGCCAACACGAGCCAGGACTGCTCATTCCTAGCTCCAGCTGGCTCCCGTTGCAGCTCTGTGGAGAGAAGAACTAGCAGAAGCAACCTTGAAATCATTAACAATTATGTTTGAGAACTCATGGAGGATTGATGAGATCCCACAGGACTAGAGATGTGACAAACATACTACCTAGCTTTCAAAGGGGTAACAAAGAGGACTTGGGGAATTACAGACTAGTTGGCTGAATTTCAATACCAGGAAAGATACTGGAACAATTTATTAAGCTGACAATTTGTAAGCATGAAGAGGATAATAGGGTTATACGGAATAGCCTGCATGTTTTATAAAGAACATATCCCAATCCAACCTCATTTCCTTGTTTGACAGGATTACTGGCCAAGTGAATAAAGAGGAAGAAGGAAATGTGATATATCTTGAGTTTGGTAAGATTTTTGCCACAGTCCTACATGACATTCTCATAGGGAAATGTGGTCTTGGTGAATGTCCATCAGGTGGACACACGTCTAGGTTGAAAGACCATACTCAAGATGGTTCACTGTCAAACTGGAAGGATGTATTTAGCCAGGTCCAACAGGAGTCAGTCCTGGGGCTGGTAGTATTGAATATTTTCATTAATGCCTTGGGGTATGTCTACACTACCCCGCTAGTTCGAACTAGCGGGGTAGTGTAGACATACCCAGGGTGGGGGAGCACAGGAAGCATCTTGGCCCTGCCCATTCTGGGTGAGGCCCTGCCCCTTCCAGGGTGGCCCACAACCACTTCAGAAATTTGTGAAGTGGCCCCCTTCAAAAATTATTGCCCACCCCTGTACTAAATTATTATCATTTCTCTTCATCTTCACATTTAAGAATCTGTAACATTTTTAACATCTGTGCTTCTGAAAATTGCCAGGTTACATGAAAATATAGTACTGGCAACAGCAGGGCAAGCATCCGTTCATACCTCCATCAGTTTGTTTCAGTCTTGATCTGAATTAACTGCTTCTAGGGGTAAAAAATTTCTTGATGCCTTTACTAGAGTCTTCAAATAAGGGTTCTAATTAATGCGTGTTGCACTCATTATTATGATAAGTTATACCAACAATGGCATTGAAACTCACATTATGTGGGTTACAAGCAGACAACAGATGGAAACTTTTCACTACCTGCCTGGGCTATATTTGAAACAATGCTATGAAAATGAAGTATTTTATCTTTTATTCCTGTTCCTAACTGGACGAGGAAATTGAGAATGAAGTTCTGCAATTCACAAAAATAATGAAAATATGTAAGAGTAATTTTTTTCAAGGAATGCTTTATAATTTTTTAAAAATGATTCATGTACTATTATCTATAGTGAGGTATGAAAACGGCAAAGATTCAAGTGTTTACATATTCTGTAACATTGTCGCATTTTACGTTGGTTCTAAATAGAAGATATCACAATGTCTACGTTTACAGTAAGAAATTGTGCATTTTGTGTGGTCAGTGTCTATCCAGAGCTCTTCGATGGAAATTTTGGAATATCTTGGCAAGCCATATACAGAAATATAGTTCTAGATTCTAGAGCCATATAACCTTTTATGATTTAGTTAAGGCATTAATGGGATTAAGAAGTAATATAGTTCTTATTTGAATTTCAATGGCACATGAAGGCAATTCAAATGGTATGCATTTCCCTCCTTCATCCTAATGTGCTCAGTGTGTTTGCTGAGATCCTTTGGCATGTGCACTAGTGCAATGTTTCCCCACACACTTTGTAGAAGGGGTGCTAGCTGCATTGGCCATTGGAGAGACAGAGACAGGGAACCATCCATCATCTGCTCTGAGACTGCAGAGACTCAACAACTGCCATCTCTCCTCCTGGCCATACCCAAGATAAAAGTGTGGGCAGCCCTTTAGTCAGGGATCTGCAGAAGCCCCCAATGGTAGTGACTTAAGCCATTTCATTCTTTTCACTTGAACATATCATCCTAATGACAGTTCTGTCAGCTGATCCTCATGGGAAGAGAAGGTTTAACTGGGCTATTTGTATTCTGGTTTCTTACAAGACAAAACCATTCTAATCCAAAAATCCACACACTAGAAAATTAGATACCTTGTTGTCCTGCTGATAAACTGCCAATGTTGCCTGGCCATTACGGGAAGAGATATTATCTATATATGTTTATAATTAATATATTTGCAATTCTGGAGTGTTTCCTATATGAGTGTTGTATTTTATTTTCAGGGACAGAATGATGCTGCTGAAATTAGAACAGGAAATTTTAGATTTCATTGGTAATAACGAGTAAGTGCTGCAATTTTAATAAAAAATTATTCAAAAGTATTTTGTTGTTTTGTAAAACTAGTATTTTTTTCTCTTCCAGAAGTCCGCGCAAAAAATTCCCTCCCATGACATCTTACCATAGAATGCTGTTGCACAGAGTAGCTGCTTACTTTGGACTGGAACATAATGTGGACCAGAGTGGGAAATCAGTGATAGTAAACAAAACTAGCAATACAAGAATGTAAGTTGTCATAATTTTGAAAGAATTCTTCCAATTTTGGTGCATGGATTTACTCAAGGCTAATTCAGATAATGATACAATTTAGATTGACCACTGTGGCTTCAAATCTATCAGCACTTGGAGCTCACTCTCTTCCAAGGATGGGTCTAGTGAGATCTTTATTATCCATTTAGTGCTATATGATGTGGAATATGAACATCAATATAAAATATGTTAAATTAATAAGAGCCCGAGTTCTTGGTGAGATCACAGTATCTATTTCATGGTTACATCAAAGGCTCTTTGTATTTTTTTTTTTTTAAAGCCATCAGTTATTTCTGTAACTCTTGTTGAGTAACACATACCACTATTTCTACATGGACTTCTTGTTGCTTACCTAGAGCCCCAGAACTAGAATGATAGGATCACTTGTGGCAAATTGAAGTGACAAGAGGTCGCACTGACTGTTGGCTTCTGTCATGTGGAGGCCCATTAGGGGAGGGGATTAGGCAGGTCTCCGGTATTGCTTGAACTGTCCTTGTTTACTTTGTTACTATTTGAATTTTGAATTATAACTTTTAAGGTACAGATTTTATATATAACTTTCCCCTGTCAGTTTTTTCTTTTTAAACAATCTTGAACTTTATTAACATTTTTAGTGTTTTGATTGTGTTTAAATCTGGATTCTTAAATTCTAAAAACCAGATTGGACAACTTTGAGAACAGCTTTCAATAATATTATCTTAAATGTATATATTAACTTTTATCTTCAATATCCGCACACAGTTTGTTTCATCCAAAAGACCTGTGATTTACATACATGCATGTGCACACACAACCTATCTAAGTAGATGATGTCTAATTTAACCCCACTGTTATGTTAAACTCTGTAGTTCTAGAAAGTTTAGAAGTAACTGAAACCCATGATTTACAACACAGAGCTATTCTCTCCGAAAATGCACTAGCGTAGTTCTTAAACTTTTTGATTGTTTATATTACTCAGTATATTTGCATGGAACAGGATCTTTGAGACAGGTGTGTTCTAAGCGGTTTGGGCAGAAATCTAGGGCTTGAGTTCTAATCTCAGTGCTAACATGGATTCCCTCTGTTTTTTGGGCCACAAAATATACTTACTTCAATTTTGTAATCTGTAAAATGGGAGTAATAAATGGAACTCTGACAAGGGCCTTAGGTTTAACCAATATATGTTTGTAGAGTGCTTTGAAGATGGACAGTATACATAATTTTGAGGTCCTAAATATTTTTACTATTTTACTGGTTTTGCTATTAATTCCTTACCTGAAATTATAATTCCATATATCTCTCATCAGGCATTTCCATACCCACAAGATCTGATGCCTCAGACCAAGGATTATGATTACCTGAGGTGGGGAATAAATAGCAATAGCAGAAGAACTCTTAACTGCAAACTGAAATGTTTCTTTAAAAAAAAAAATCCACCTAACAATCTTGTGAATAATCTCTGGAAGCCCTAACAACACAATTATTAATTAGCAGGCATTTCTTTTAACCTATAGACAGTAGGATGACTCTTTAAGGTTTTCAATATTCTTATTTTAAATCACTTGGGATATAAAATAAGAATTTAGGAAGAAAATCTTGGAGATCTGCTCCATATTGAATAAAACCAAACTTCCCTTTTCCTCATAGGCAGATTCCCTGCTCCAGCGTCGATCAGTGATGTTACTGATATCAACAACCCAGTCCACACTGGGACGTCTCAGTGGAGTGGGAAGTTGGTGATTGCAGGGCAGTAAATTCAGAGATCTTTAAAAGAAAGAGGTAAGACAGTCTAAAGGTTCTCTGAAATGCCTGCTAATTATGTTTGGGCATCCAGCCACCATTTAGTTAGGTTTGGTTAAAAGTACTGCAGTTTGTGTTATAAGGAAGAAAAATCCTGCTTTTATACAAATGCTCTGAGTAATAACTAAACCACCCCACCCCGAAATACAGACCATATATATGTTACACCCTTCTATTACCAAATACCTTCTAGTTGTCTGAGAACAGATCATGTATTTATAAATAATTTAGCATAATTGCCGTTATAGTCAGTAGTTTTTGGTACCAAACAGTAGTTTGGAGGGAGTCTCATGATTCATTTATAAGGCAGTTACAATTCAAAAAATACAACAACCCTATCCTAAATTCTGGCTTTGTCATCTTCCTGCATTCTTCCAAGACTTCTGCTTGCTTGCATGATTGTATTCTTCCGACTCCTTTTTTCTAACAAATTTTAACTGTTTAATTTGTTTTCCATCACTCCCATCTCTTTATTCTAAATTCTTTTGAAGTAAGTGTTGATTGTTTAAACAGTTTTCATAGTAGACACTTATGTCATGCACTTCCCGAATTCTCTTGAATTGCTACAACTATGGATTATGGGACACTTCTGAGCCCCTCAGTTAAACCTGCTTGTTTGCTGCCTTAACTAGAAATTTGAAAACATACTTTGAAGGAAGAATAGATCTGTCTTAGAAACAGGTTTTGTATACCACATGACAGCAAGAGTTGTCAGGTACAAAAGTGCTTTATACCTTCGATATTTTTACAGTTTTCAGGTCAACAGCTTATTACTGAAACAGCACTCCAATCAAATTGTAATATTTTATATCTGATACTTTTTAGAATGCTTCTCCCAACTATTTTACTTGGTGCCAGTATGTTTCTTACATTGATATACAATGTATAGGTTTATATATTTATAAAATTATTTATAATTTGTCTGAAATATAACTTTTTTCATTACCATTTTCCTTAGCCCTGATCAAAAGTTTTGTGAGCATATAAAGGATGAGAAAAGTGAAGATTTTCAGAAACGTTATATCCTTAAAAGAGATAACTCTAGTTTAGACAAAGATGATAACCAGGTAAATGTATTAAATTGTATTTTATTTTTTCAAATTGATGCCTTGCCTATAAATTCATAGTTTTCACGTAGAAATTGGTATTAAATTTAATCATGTACTGAATTTAATGTAGATGCGAATACGCTTAAAAGATGATAGAAGAAGCAAATCTATAGAAGAACGAGAAGAAGAATACCAGAGAGCTAGAGAACGAATATTTGCACAAGATGTAGGTATTCAGTCAAAAAGAAAGCTTACTGAATCTTTGTCTTAAGAATTTTTTTCAGTCTGTTTCATATATAAATGTACCCATAGTTTTATTTTAAATTATTTTTTTTACTGATGTAGATTTTCATCTATTTACAGTAAAAACAATATTTACTTAACAGTTTTGATGACTTTGGTTATTATGATAATGTGCAAGCGAGTAAAATATCCAACTTACTGTGTCCGAGTAACCTTAACTTGGCAGTGATAACAGGGATTCAGCCTTGTCTTCTGAAATAAAATAAAAACAAAACAAAAAGGGAATGACATCAGTATTAAAAGAAACCTTTTTACTAAATTGCCTTTTTGAATTATCTGCACAAGAAACCTAAAAATAGTTTGTCATTCTAAAATGCGGAGAAATAAACTTTGGAAAACTAGTATGGTGCACCTCTGTATTTTGAAAAGCATTTTATTCATTCACTTTGTCCAACAGCAGAAAAGAACAAACTTTTAACATAGTATCCTGACTTCTATAGTACTTACCTCAAACTTTTCTTTTTCTTATTATAATTTGTATATTTTCCTTGCCTTCTAATTGCTTTAGAAAGCAGTTAATCTAAACTAAGAAACAATTGTTTAACCCTCTTGTCCAAATAGATAACTGTTGGCATGTTTGAGCCAGACATTTAAGTTTGGATTCTTTTGGCCAACAGAGTATTTAGGTGGGGATGGGTAGCACTGTACATCAGTAATGGAGTAGACTGTAAATAAATAAGAAAATATAGCATGGATAAAACAGGATTGGTTTGGGCCAAAACCATTTTGGGAAAAGACTGTGAAAGTACTGGAGTAGGGCTAAGGATCTGTTAGACCCTGCAGAGATATATTTGGATATGGATAAAGTAGGCACCATTAGGGTATGTCTACGCTGCACTGTTATTCTGGAATAACGGTCGTCATTCCAGAAAAAGAATGCAAGAGTCCACACAGCAACTGTGTTATTTCAGAAGAAAATCAAAATAACTAAGGGCTTTTTCCAGCATTGGTAAACTTCATTCCACAAGGAATAACGCCTCTTCCGAAAAAGCTCTTTCAGGAAAGGGCATAGGTGTACACTCCACTGTTGCTATGTCAAAATAGCTCCTCACCAGGGCCATTCTAAGTTATTCCTTCTGAAAACATCAACTCAGTGTGCAGTGGCAGTCAAAAAGGCAAATAGAATGTTAGGAGTCATTAAAATATGGATAGCTAATAAGACAGAAAATATGACCCAGTATAGCTGTTCTTACGTTGCTCCCCAGTGCCTCCTGAGGCTCTAAATCAAGATAGCACGTCCACATTAGGCGAGCCTGACTGCTACATTTTGAGGCTTCCCTGTAGTGTGGACGCTCTATTTTGAAATAAGCTATTCCAGAAGAGATCTTCTAGAATAGCTTTTTCCGAAATAAGCTTGCAGTGTAAACGTATCCTAAGAAAGGGTATGTCTATACTGCAGAGGTTTGGGGGGGAGGGGGTTCTGGAAAAACTTCTGTTTTTCCATAAAAACTTCACTTCCGTCCACACTGCAATCACATTCTTTAAAAAAAAAAAAATCAAAAGAACAGAGGGGTTTTTTCTGACATTGGTAAACCTCTTTCCAAGAGGAAGAAGCCTTTTTCTGAAAGAGCTCTTTTGGAAATAGGCGTGTGTGAACGAGGAAGAGGATGTTTTTTCGAAAGAAGAGGAAAAAGCGCAGGTGTCCTGGTGGCCACTCCGTCCATAGTAATCACAGCTTACATGCGAGATAGCATCCATTCAGTCTAGATGCTGTCTCTCGAAAAAGCAGATCGCTTTTTTGATGTGCTTTGGCAGTGGGGATGCTCTCTTTCGGAAGACTTTTTTTGGAAGATCTCTGGAAAAGCTTCTTCTGAAAGAAGTCTGCAGTCTAGACATAGCCAAAGAGAACTACTCCCAGAATTTGTTGATATGGGAGACTTTAATTTCGCAGCTATAGATTGGAGAGCAAATACTACTAATAATGGTAGGGTCCAATTACTCCTAGATGTAATAGCCAGGGCTCGCCAAACCATGGAGAGCCCCGCTCGCCAGCCACAGTGTCCGGTGATCTGCGCATGCGCAGATTGCCAGAACCCGGCTCTTCCGGGTTACAATCTACTTGCCACGGGCAAGTAGACTGTATAATTTGTTGAGCCCTGGTAATAGCCAACAGATTTCTTCACCATATAACTAGCAAGGGGCGATGTGTTATTAAATAGAGAGGGCATTATAGAAGAAGTGGTCATAAAAATAGCATTGGATCACATGATCAGGAGCTGATTAATTTGAAAATGAATGGAAGGCTAATACAAAAAGTTGATAAGGAAAGCTTTTTTGTTTTTAAAAGGGCAGAGTTTGAGAAATTGAGAACTGGTTAGTTAAATGCGTTAGAACAATGAGCTCAGAGATTTAAATCTCGATGAGATTTGGAATTACTTTAGGTCAAATGTTTAAGCAGACAGCCTGGAAGAAAGGCTTGATCTATCAAGAAAGCTGTATCTTGACGTCAGAAATTGCAAGATTTAAGTGAATATTGCCAAAAAATCAAAATGAGTTAGAACTGCAAAGGAATTAAAACAAATAGCAAAACATTTGTAGCCATATAAATAAAAATACTACAAGAAAAGAATCGTAGAATACCGGGACTGGAAGGGACCTTGAGAGGTCATCGAGTCCAGTCCCCTGCCCTCATAGCAGGACCAAATACTATCTAGACCATCCCTGAGAGACATTTATCTAACCTACTCTTAAATATCTCTAGAGATGGAGATTCCACAACCTCCCTGGGTAATTTATTCCAGTGTTTGACTACCCTGACAGAAAATTTTTCCGAATGTCCAACCTAAACCTCCCTTGCTGCAGTTTAAGCCCATTGCTGCTTGTTCTATCCTCGGAGGCCAAGATGAACAAGTTTTCTCCCTCCTTATGACACCCTTGTAGATGATAACTGAAAATGGCTATCATGTCCCCTCTCAATCTTCTCTTTTCCAAACTAAATAAACCCAGTTCTTTCAGCCTTCCTTCATAGGCCATGTTCTCTAGACCTTTAATCATTCTTGTTGCTCTTCTATGGACCCTCTCCAATTTCTCCACATCTTTCTTGAAATGCGGTGCCCAGACCTGGACACAGTACTCTAACTGAGGCCTAACAGCGCAGAGTAGAGTGGAAGAATGACTTCTCGTGTCTTGCTCACAACACACCGTTAATGCATCCCAGAATCATGTTTGCTTTTTTTGCAACAGCATGACGCTGCTGACTCATATTCAGCTTGTGGTCCACTATAACCCCTAGATTCCTTTTTGCCGTACTCCTTCCTAGACAATTGCTTCCCATTCTGTATGTGTGAAACTGTTCTTTCCTAAGTGGAGCACTTTGCATTTGTCTTTATTAAACGTCATCCTGTTTACCTCAGACCATTTCTCCAATTTGTCCAGGTCATTTTGAATTATGACCCTATCCTCCAGATTAATTGCAACCCCTCCCAGAAAACTTAATAAGCGTATTTTCTATGCCAATATCTAAATCATTGATGAAGATATTGAAGAGAGCCGGTCCCAAAACAGACCCCTGCAGAACCCCACTTGTTATACCTTTCCAGCAGGATTGTGAACCATTAATAACTACTCTCTGAGTACGGTTATCCAGTCAGTTATGCACCCACCTTACAGTAACCCCATCTAAGTTGTATTTGCCTAGTTTATTGATAAGAATATCATGCGAGACCGTATCAAACGCCTCATTAAAGTCTAGGTATACCACATCCACCGCTTCTCCCTTATCCACAAGACTCGTTATCCTATCAAAGAAAGCTATCTGATTGGTTTGACATGATTTTTTCTTTACAAATCCATGCTGGCTATTCCCTATCACCTTGCCACCTTCCAAGTGTGTACAGATGATTTCCTGAATTACTTGCTCCATTATCTTCCCTGGCACAGAAGTGAAACTAACTGGTCTGTAGTTTCCTGGGTTGTTCTTATTTCCCTTTTTATAGATGGGCACTATATTTGCCCTTTTCCAGTTTTCTGGAATCTCTTCTATCTCCCATGATTTTCCAAAGATGATAGCTAGAGGCTCAGATACCTTCTCTATCAGCTCCCTGAATATTCTAGGATGCATTTCATCAGGCTCTGGTGACTTGCAGGCATCTAACTTTTCTAGGTGATTTTTAACTTTTTTTATTTTATCTTCTAAACCTACCCCCTTCCCACTAGCATTCACTATGTTAAGCATTCCATCAGACTTCTCGGTGAAGACCGAAACAAAGAAGTCATTGAGCATCTCTGCCATTTTCAGGTTTCCTGTTACTGTTTCTCCCTCTTCACTGATCAGTGGGTCTACCCTGTCCTTGGTCTTCCTCTTGCTTTTAATGTATTTATAAAAAGTCTTCTTGTTTCCCTTTGTTCTCGTAACTAGTTTGAGCTCATTTTGTCCCTTTGCCTCTCTAATCTTGCCCCTGCATTCCTGTGTTGTTTGCCTGTATTCATCCTTTGTAATTTGTCCTATTTTCCATTTTTTATATGACTCCTTTTTTATCTTTAGATCATGCAAGATCTCGTGGTTAAGCCAAGGCGGTCTTTTGCCATATTTTCTATCTTTCCTACACAGCAGAATAGCTTGCTTTTGGGCTCTTAATAGTGTCCTTTCAAAAAAATGCCAGCTCTCCTCAGTTGTTTTTCCCCTCAGTCTTGATTTCCAACGGGACCTTACCTATCAGCTCTCTGAGCTTACCAAAATTCGCCTTCCTGAAATCCATTGTCTCTATTTTGCTGTTCTCCCTTCTACCCTTCCTTAGAATTGTGAACTCTAAGATTTCATGATCACTTTCACCCAGGCTGCCTTCCACTTTCAAATTCTCAACCAGTTTCTCCCTATTTGTTAGGATCAAATATAGAACAGCTTCCCCCCGGTAGCTTTTTCAACCCCCTGAAATAAAAAGTTGTCTCCAATGCAGTCCATGAACTTATTGGATAGTCTGTGCTCCGCTGTGTTATTTTCCCAACATATATCTGGATAGTTGAAGTCCCCCATCACCACCAAATCTTTGGCTTTGGATGATATTGTTAGTTCTTTTAAAAAAGTCTCATCCACTTCTTCCACCTGGGTAGGTGGCCTGTAGTAGACTCCTAGCATGACATCACCTTTGTTTTTAACTCCTTTTAGCCTAACTCAGAGACTCTCAACACTTCCATCTCCTATGTCTATCTCCACCTCACTCCAAGTGTGTTCATTTTTAATATATAAGGCAATACCTCCTCCTTTTTTCCCTGTCTATCCTTCCTGAGTAAGCTGTACCATTCCATACAAACATTCCAATCATGTGTATTATCCCACCAAGTTTCTGTGATGCCAAGAATGTCATAATTGTACTTATTTATTAGCACTTCCAGTTCTTCCTGCTTATTACCCATACTGCTCGCATTTGTATACAGGCATCTAAGATACTGATTTGACTTTGCCTCCCAGTTTTGCCCTGACCTTTCTTTCTCTCTCCTATCCAGTGGCAGTGGTGTAGGTATGAGACACAAACTTTTAAATGAGCACTTTGCCTCAATATTCAGTAAAAATAATAATGTAGAACACGAGGAATAGGCAGGATAGCTAATTGGGGTTGTTATATCCAAGGTGGAAATAAACTTCAAAGATAATAATGCACACAAGTGAGGGGATCTAGATAATCTCCATAGCAGCATACTGAAAACTGTCATATAAAATTATAGCAATAAAACTTTACATTGGGATGGAAACACTCAACTGAAGAATAGTAAACATAGTCCCTATATTTAATTAGGGAGATGGGAAGGGAAGGAGTGATCCAGGCAACTACAGACCCATCTGTCTGACCTCCAATAATATGCAAGGCTTCAGAACAAACATTGAAGGAAAAAGCTGGTTAAAGATATAGAAGTAAATGGAAAATGGAATAAAATTCAATATTAGTTTTCCAAATGCGGATTCTGCCAAACTAATCAGATACCTATCTTTGAGAAGATAACTGATTATTGTAGGGGAGGGTTCAGGGAAATGGAGTAGTATCTAATCTCACTAAACTTCAGTGAAGCATTTGATATGGCATCACTGGAAAATTATTAGTAGTTAATTTTGGAGAAGATGGGCATTATTACAAAAACTGTGAAATGGGTAAGGACATGGCTGAAGTGGGAAAAAGGGTTTGTACTGAAAGATGAACTTTTAGGGAAAGGAATTAGTTGGTGGAGTTCCTTGAGAAACAATCTTGGGACTGACCTTATTTAATATTTCATTTATTATCTTGGCTCAAAAAGTAAGAGTGTGTTAATGAAATCTGCTTATGACACAAAGTTTAAAGGCATCATCAATACAGAAGAAGATTGGAATATTATCCAGGAAATATTGGAATAACAAACTAACACACACTATGCACCATTAAAACAAAAAATTTAAATTACATTTTATTCTATACTTTTTCCCCAGTCCCTGTGTTCCCAAGAGAATTATCTTATTGAGAGAAGGTAAGAAATTCACAATTTAAATTGGTTCCTATATATACTTTCTTAATAAAAACTAAGCTATCTTGTTAAAAATGTCAACAGAATCCAAGAGGAGGAAACTAATAGTACACAGCAAAGGCGGCAGATATTTAGGTATTGAATGCATTATTTTGAATTTTAAAGTATTTGTGTATTTCATCTTAATTTTTCTTCCTTATTTTGCAAATTATGCTTGTATTAAAAATTTAGTTTATGAATTACAGAGTAAATAAGGACGCTTCAGGGAGATCCACCAACAGCCATCAAAGCAGTACTGAGAATGAGCTGAAATATTCTGAACCCCGTCCCTGGAGCAGCACAGATTCTGATAGTTCCAGCCGTAATTTGAAGCCAGCTGTAACAAAAGCCAGCAGCTTCAGTGGGATTTCAGTTCTGACAAGAGGAGATAGCTCTGGAAGCAGCAAAAGCACAGGCAAGCTGTCTAAGACAGGTATAATATATTTGTACAAGTAAATAGTTTTATGTAGCAGCAAACATCAGTGTGCCTGATAGTTAATGCACACTATACATAGGCACAGGGCCCTGATAGTTAATGCACACTATACATAGGCACAGGGTCCAATCTTCTAACTCCTCCCTGCACAAAACAACTATTGTCTGCAATGTGTGTTGTATGCTAAGATTGGCTGTAGGATTAGGCCCCATTGTGTGTGTAACTTTGTATAGAAATAGAATTCATATTGGAAATGAATTGAAGATCTTGAAACGCTAGTTGTGAAACCAATATCAAGTTAGAGAGCCTTTGCTGGCTAGTGAGTTGATTCTGTATCCCATGAAAATAGAATCATAGAATCATAGAATCATAGGACTGGAAGGGACCTCGAGAGGTCATCGAGTCCAGCCCCCCGCCCTCAAGGCAGGACCAAGCTCCGTCTACACCATCCCTGACAGATGTCTATCTAACCTGTTCTTAAATATCTCCAGAGAGGGAGATTCCACCACCTCCCTTGGCAATTTATTCCAATATTTGACCACCCTGACAGTTAGGAATGTTTTCCTAATGTCCAATCTAAACCTCCCCTGCTGCACTTTAAGCCCATTACTCCATGTCCTGTCCTCAGAAACCAAGAGGAACAAATTTTCGCCTTCCTCCTTGTGACACCCTTTTAGATATTTGAAAACCACTATCATGTCCCCCCTTAATCTTCTTTTTTCCAAACTAAACAAGCCCAGTTCATGAAGCCTGGCTTCATAGGTCATGCTCTCTAGACCTTTAATCATTCTTGTCACTCTTCTCTGTACCCTTTCCAATTTCTCCACATCTTTCTTGAAATGTGGCGCCCAGAACTGGACACAGTACTCCAGCTGAGGCCTAACTAGTGCAGAATAGAGCGGCAGAATGACTTCACGAGTTTTGCTTACAACACACCTGTTGATACAACCTAGAATCATATTTGCTTTTTTGGCAACAGCATCACACTGTTGACTCATATTCAACTTGTGGTCCACTATGACCCCTAGATCCCTTTCCGCCATGCTCCTTCCTAGACAGTCGCTTCCCATCTTGTATGTATGGAACTGATTGTTCCTTCCTAAGTGGAGCACTTTGCATTTCTCTCTATTAAACCTCATCCTGTTTACCTCCGACCATTTCTCTAACTTGCTAAGGTCATTTTGAATTATGTCCCTATCCTCCAAAGAAGTCGCAACCCCACCCAGTTTGGTATCATCTGCAAACTTAATAAGAGTACTCTCTATCCCAATATCTACATCATTGATGAAGATATTGAACAGTACGGGTCCCAAAACAGACCCTTGAGGAACTCCACTTGTTATCCCTTTCCAGCAGGATTTAGAACCGTTAACAACAACTCTCTGACTACGGTTATCCAGCCAATTATGCACCCACCTTATCGTGGCCCTATCTAAGTTATATTTGCCTAGTTTATCAATAAGAATATCATGCGAGACCGTATCAAATGCCTTACTAAAGTCTAGGTATATGACATCCACCGCTTCTCCCTTATCCACAAGGCTCGTTATCTTATCAAAGAAAGCTATCAGATTAGTTTGGCATGACTTGTTCTTCACAAACCCATGCTGGCTATTCCCTATCACTTTATTACCTTCCAAGTGTTTGCATATGATTTCCTTAATTACCTGCTCCATTATCTTCCCTGGGACAGACGTTAAACTGACCGGTCTATAATTTCCTGGGTTGTTCTTATTCCCCTTTTTATAGATGGGCACAATATTTGCCCTTTTCCAGTCTTCTGGAATCTCCCCTGTCTGCCATGATTTTTCAAAGATCATAGCTAAAGGCTCAGATACCTCTTAGAGTTCAAAACTGCTTCAGTTCATCTCTTCAGTCAAAGTTGCATGCATACTTGTAGAAAACTGTGTGTTGATGTCCCTTTCATTAGAACTAGTTCAGTAATAAAGCCTATGGAGGATTATTCATATTTGTTCCAGTGTTTCTAACTGGTAGTTTTACAAATCAAGTTTACACTTAATTCAGAATAAACCCCAATAATGTAAATTGTCATCATAGTGAACTGTTTTACTGCAAAATCCAGGGAAGATTGAATTATGTACTCATTCTATGATAATCTGTGAATTACATTAGCTGGTAATTTATTCTTTATGTAGAAACAGTACTTTGTTTCAGAAGATCTTAGTTGAAGTCCTACTGGGGTAGAAGGTGAAACCAATTTGGCAGCCTTATAGGACATACTAAAATATAGGTGACCTGTCTAAGTGATCTGCGTCGGAGCGTTTCAGGGCTTGAATGAAAAAAGCAAGTCTAGTTGTTAAGATTACAGGTAGTGTTTATAGGGAAGTAAAAGGATGTGAGTGTTTGTCTGTATTTATGCCTGGCTTCAGTCAGTGTGATGAACCCTGTCTTGAGCAAATATCCATTAAACATTTAACTGCCCCTTAAACACCCACTTCCCCACACCAAAATATAAAAGGGAAATAAAGTACATAAAGCATATTGCAGTAAAACAGATGATACTAACATTAAAAGCAGAATTTCAGTATGAAATGAAGATCTGATAAAATGTTGTTAGTTGAGAAATGTATCTTTATTACTTTGTATATATTTCAACATCTGTAGCATAAATTTAAGTTATTTAGTTGAGCAATGGAATAGCACTATTTGGTGACTTTTAACAAAGTCAAAGTACATTATATCATCGTCTATATCAGATATGTTATAGAAAGATTTTCACACGTTTAAATTAGAACAAAATATCTTCCTAAAAATCAACCATTTTATTCTGATTTCTGAAAGTGGGATCCTAACTTAAAAAGGTGGTTGATGGTGATTGTTTCATTGCAGTCAAAGTTCGTGGTCATCGAAAGTAAAAAGTTATATATATAATAATAAAAAAAATTGGGCTTTGATGTATATAAATCAAAATGGTTAAAGATGAGTCTAATGTTTCTACGTAATCTAGAATCTGATGCACACGTAAGAAAACTGTGAAATCAAGTCAAGGATATATGAGAAAATGGAGATTGATCATAGTACTGGGATACAATGGTTGTGGATTGGGCTGTTTACTTAATTTCTTTGTACCTTAGTTACCCCATTTGTAAAATTATGCTAATAATATTTATCTTTAACTGTTTTGAGATGTATGAGTAAAAATGCAATACAAATATAAAATGTTTATAATTATTAATTATCTGCAAAGGCAGCTGATATCTTAAAATAATTTAATTGATTTTTAAAAGAAACATAATTTTCATGATAGCATTATTTTGAGTTTTATTTTCTCTTCTAGATTATTTATTGGCTGCTGATTAAGATTACTTCTGCTTAAACATGGCCATTATTTTTCTGCACCTGCATGTTATGCAACTATTATAGCAAAGATCTCATAGAAAATATTATGTATACGAAGGGGACTTTAGGAAAAGACAAGTGCAGTTCAAAAATATCTAGGGACCTCTCAGTGGCTAGGTTATTGGAAAATTGCTTTTAGTTTCATGCTTTGGCTACCAAGAACTCGGGGCCTGATTCTCCAGTCTCTTGCACATTATGTAGTCATTGGCATCTATGCAAAGTTAGTATACTATGCCCCCATTTTGATTTGATATTCACTTTGTTCTGGTGTAAAAGACTAAACAAAGAGGCAGTGTAGAATCAGTCCCTGAGTTTACAGAAAGACACTTGTAATGGATGTACTTTACTCAGATGGTATTGAAAAATTCGTAGTTCGATCTTGTAGTTACATGCTGTTGTTTAAGGGTATGCTTTAAAAATTATGTATTTAAATGTGTAATGTTTCTGTCTCTAGGTAAAAACAATTTTTCATTACTCCTTTCCTAGGTTCAGAGTCTTCTAGTAGTGTAGGGTCATCCACGGGTTCTCTTTCTCACACCCAGCAACCTCTTCCAGTCACAGCTCTAAGCCAGCCTTCTCATGGCACACCTGCTGCCTATCCAACTATCAGCTCTAGTAAATCTCTTTCCTTTGATGGTGGCATAAGTGGGCAAGTGACACCTACTAGCACTAGCTTCTTTTTGCTTCCCTTGGAAGCGGCAGGCATACCACCTGGCAGTATTCTGATCAACCCTCAAACAGGTTGGTATCCAGTTGTGGATGTTTTTATTAAAGTTTAGAATTTTGGAATAACATGTAAATTGTTTAACTTGTGAATGTATTGTAGTGTTGTCTTTTTCCTCCCTCCCCCCACCACCCAAATGTTTTCAGTATCTTATGTTTTTATTATTTTCTCAGTGTACGTAATATTAACGCTGTTCTGATATATAAGGATAATGGTTAACACACAATAGTAGGGGTGGGAGGAAACCTGCTGTTTGTTACCAGATTAGATTAACCTACAGGTTACAATAAGGCTGTCTGTGCTTGAGGAACTACCAAAAACGATCAGCAGTACTTATTATAAATGTATAATATATTATTTGTAACAAATCAAATATTTGGGGTTACTTTTTATATAATCAAGTTAGTGTAAACAAAGGGTTCTTTGATCATTTTAAATGATAAAATATGAGATATTTGGGATTTCTTATCAAGCTACATCTCTATCTTAATAATTATAATATATAGTAAGTTACATATTTTAAATTTGTTTTTATTTCATTAGTGTCCTTTTTGTTTCACTCAAGGTCATATTTTGAGGCAGGGGGGATGGAAGTTAAATTGTTTCACTCCTGAAACTCTAGTTTTGTACTCAACTAAATAAATCTGTTGTCTTTCAGTCCTGACTATTTTTTCTTGTGCTAATATGGTAAGCCATATGACAGCAAACATTTTACATTCATGGTTCAGCTTGTACTTGTACCATTTACTTAAATGTTTGTCCATCTGAGCCTTACATAAGGAATGGCTAAAGCCAGCTATACTATAAACTGTGAAACCAGTACCAGAAATAGGAAGCATTTCCCAGCACCTTGTTGGTTATTGCATACTAGTGATGGTGTATTTGGTATTTTAGGGCTAGGTACTGCAGCAGCACTCTAGACTTTCCTGGTCTAATAATAAAAAAACAATTCCATAGTGGATGTCCCATGTACCAATTGACCATTTATCTATATTATGCCAAATCACTGTTAATGGCAAGATGAAGTGTTCACACACACACACACATTCAGAACTGTAGGTTCTGACTATACTGGAATTAAAAAAGTCTTAGCCAGAGCCGTAAGTAAACAGGCTTCCTCTGGCTAGATGATGATGCTTTCCCTGTCCAGGTACTGATTAACAGCTACACTGTTATTCAAACAAAGGTGCTATCTAATGTCTCAAATTTACCAGTCAGTTTAGCTCTCCTGTATTCACTGGGTTTAATGATTAGAAGTTTGCAGAGTCATTGCTAAATTGGTCAGTCATTGTACCTTCAAAAAAATATTAACTTGAAAATCATATTTGGATCATTTTATGATCTTTACTGATATAAATAATCCCTAAAATTTTAATTTAAAGAGAAAACCCCTTTCTCTTTTCCTCCGTTCTTTCACTTTGTGTTTCACAGGTTTTGTGTCTAGTCATTTTTGCTCCTATATACTTAGTTAGTTTTCCTGTGTTTTGTTAATTCACTTTATAAAACTGTCTTGATTTCAAATAGCATGTCCCATTAATTACATATTTAGACTGTTTCTCAATCATTAATTTTGCTTTCATTATAGCGGGATTGTTTGATATGTTTACAAGAAAAGACTGTTCAGTACCAATGATTGAATAACATTAATATTCTTCCAAAACAGTGTGAATATCAGCAACATTTCTGTTCAGAAGAGTTCCCAGATTATAACCAATATTCATGGGCAGTTAGGAAGAAGTAATGACTCTCCTAGCTTTTATCATGAGTTAGAGCTCAAAGACCACAGGTTAAATTGTTACTCTCTCTGACAGTGATTTCTGCAGATTTTAGAGAATTATTGTGTTTCCTCTCTCTCTTCTCTCTCTTCCAGACAGTCTGAGAAGGCTCTTCGCCCATCTCTCCCTCTCCTTCTCACAGTGGGGATAAGAGTGATCTTAATGAGTCTAGAATATGGGCAGGATGGGGGGCAGGAAAGTGAGGAGGAATGAGAAAACTTTGACTCCTGAAGTCTGTAAAGAATATCTCCATGGATCCTCAGCCACTGAGGTTGAAGGAGAAGTATTAAGCCAAATCTAATATACAGTAGACTTCCGATAATCCGGCACCTTTGGGACCCACAGGGTGCTGTATTATTGGATATGCTGGAGTATCAGGAGGTACTCCGGCGAGGGGGCTGTGACGGGTCTGCCGGCCGGCGGAGAAAGGGGGGTCGGCGGGGAGCGGTGCGGCGAGGGGCGAACCCTCTGCTGTTTTTCAGAGAGGCTGGGGAAGCCCTGCGCAGCCGGGCCGCCCCCCCACCTCTCTGCAAAACGGCGGAGGATTCGCCCCTCGCTGCGCCGTACCCTGCTCCCTGGCCAGACGCAGTGCGGTCCTGGCAGACCCATCACAGGGTATGTATAATCTCCTTCTCCTCTTCTCCCTTTCCCTTTCCAAGCCCATGAGAGCGCATGGGGCTCATAGGAGCTCCAACTGTCTGGCTGGCTGGAGCACTTCTCCACCTCTCTGCAAAACGGCGGAGGATTCGCCCCTCGCTGCGCCGTACCCTGCTCCCTGGCCAGACGCAGTGCGGTCCTGGCAGACCCATCACAGGGTATGTATAATCTCCTTCTCCTCTTCTCCCTTTCCCTTTCCAAGCCCATGAGAGCGCATGGGGCTCATAGGAGCTCCAACTGTCTGGCTGGCTGGAGCACTTCTGGGTTCCAGTTGGCGCCTGACTATCTGGAGTGCCAGACCACTGGATGCCGGACAATTGGAGTTTTACTGTAGATGGAACATGTAAATGAATGGGCCCCGTGTTAAGCTACATCCATAGTTGAGGCTGAGGTGTCAGTTCCCAACTTCGATTAAGCCATCATGCTAAAAATAGTAGTGTGACTGCAGTAGCACAGACCGTACAAACCCAGTGAACCCTGTGGGTACATAACTGAGACAGCTAAACTGTGGTGCTGTTCACTTGTGTCCACGCACAGCATGAGTGTGCCTACTCAAGCTGAGAAATACACTCAGCACCAAGTCTGGACATAGACTGAACATTGGATCCTTCCCACATCCTTCTGTAGGCTATTTGTGTGGTATTATTTAATTTCCTTCATCTAGCTTCCCTCTTGGGCCCCTTATTGAAATACCATGTGGGAACTAAATTTCTTTCCCTGTAGTAATGTGACCTAATCCATAGGTAGGTAAATATTTCATTAGCATACAAACACAAATGTGTAAGCACCACTGCCTACACTAAATAAGAAATTCTCAGCAATTCCATAATTACCAGACTAGTTAGGCTCAGGCTAACGTAAGGAAATGAGATGGGAAATTGTCTGTTCCTTCTCTTTAAATGGAAATTTTCTGGCTAAATTTAAGTGATAATAATACAACCCTAGATTATGATGAAAAGCTTTAAAATCTAGCTTTACTTTTTGCCCTTTTTGTTGTTGTTGTTTCCTTTTTGCATCTTTGCTAAGTTCAAACATTGAAATCAGTCATTTTCACTATTACCCAGTCAGTTTTTAATAATTTTCACTTTTTGATTCTTTAATATTAGCAGACTGCTGCAATGTTTGCGTTACAAATATTGCATGGGATTTTAGTAGTAATCTTTCAGCTGAACTGATCTTTCAAATAAATTCACTTTAGGACAATGGCTCTTTTAAAGGTTCTTAATGACAGTCAAGGTGAGAGTAATTATAAGTACTGTCTTTATGGAGAAAGATTTTTTTTTTTTTTACATTACTGAACATTTTGGCTGAAAAGAGACATTTTAAATTGCTAAGGATATGAGGAGAGAGAAACCATTTTGTGAATTTTTCTTCTGCATCTTATATTTTTTCAGTCTACATAATTGAAAAAGATCTTTCAAGAGTTAGACAAATTTGTCATCCCATTTAGTCCATAAGTTTGCATTTTGTAAATGACTAGCTATTTTTGGACACAATGGCTATATACCGCAGAAACATATGGCCTTTTAATTAAAATTAGTCTTGCAAATGAGGCCTTTGGTAATTGCCATTCTAATTGTAATGGCAAGCTTTTAGGAATGTAACAAAAATTGGTATAACAGAACATATTGCCTTCAGATCTCATGTTATCGTATCGGACTTTATTTTGGAGATTGTTGAATTTAACTATATTTGTCAGTCTGTCCTTAGCCTAAATAACATGTGTCCTTTTTTTTTTCTCCACACCCTAGGTCAGCCGTTCATTAACCCAGATGGCACTCCTGTTGTGTATAACCCTCCTATGCTTCAGCAACCTGCTAGGACCCAAGTGCCTGGACTGCCACAGCAACCACCTCCCCCCCCAGCACCTCAGCAGCAACCAGCAGCTAATCACATCCTATCACAGGTGCACATGTCAAATACATAATGCTCAACTGAGCATTCTTGCCAATCAATAATAAGACATTCGTAAACATGAGTAGTTGTGGAATTTTTTGAAAGAAACATAAGTTAGCCACATACATTAACTGAATATTCTTTTTAATCACCAGACCTGCCAGTCTTCCAGACGATGTGACTGGGCAGTCCCGTTTTCCTAAAACACATAAAAAGCAGAAAGATGAACTGTCAAGGTTCTGATATCAAGGATGTAGCAAGCATCGCCACCTTATTAGCACCGCTGTTACTGCTTAGCAGAACGAAAGTAACTGAACCAGGGCTCAAATGGTAAACATTTAACAAGGGCCAAAGTGTCTATCCCTTCTGCCCTCTCCTGGTACTGTATATTAGACTAATTACTTCATTTTAACACGGAGAACTACATACCCTTTCTCTTCAAGTTCCTGTCCCAAATCTCTTAATTTGTCATGAAATCACCACATGACACTTTTTCAGAGGATTAATTTGTACATCACACAGTGATGTGTAATAACATGAAGAATTGGATCTGTTTTAACCTCCTACTCTTGTATTAGAGGAAGCTAACAGATAACTTTAAGGCTGATGAGCCCCCACACCCAGCTCCCAAACAGTCCTACTTTAACAGTAGTGATTGCAAGCATCCAAGTACAGTCATTTGCCTCATCAGTCTTAGGTAGTGATACACATCTGGCTCAGACTTGTTGAAAAGTTATTCATCGACTTTTTACCATCACCATGATCTTTGTCTACTTGTATTAAATCCTTTGTCTTATGTGCTCAGTTTGCAACCTATACTATAGCTTAAGCACTGCAGCCTATTAGAGTTAAGTCTTTTTTTTTTTTTTTGAAACTGATCATGCTCATCCATACAGCCTATTACCAGTATGTGGGATAAAGAGCAAGGCAGAATGTATGTTTTTCTTTCCTCCTCCCCAGAGCTGTGGTTGCCTTCTCCATAATAATTTCAGACTTGGTGGACTGCAGGCTTGCTTCTCTGACACAGTAATCTTGCATTATAGACATATCTGTGTCTAAGACACTGAGTTGCCAAAATCTTTTTCTATATTTACATACTACATTAGTCACATAGTGTAAATGTTGTTAGTAATGCCCCTAATATTCATGTAAGGAGTGGTAAATGCAGTTGTATTTAAAAATGCACCTTTTGCTCTATAATAACATGGCACATTTTGATTTGATTTTAGTACTTGCTTAATTCTGGATTTAAAAACTGAAATATGTACGTGTTATCTTTATTATAAACGTGGTTTACATATAGCTATTGAAAATAGCAATATGATCCATGTTTAAATTATCTTTTGCTGCTTTGTCATATAGCTTATTATGTATTAATTATAACAAATAAGCACTTCTTGATATGTTAAAAACACATTAGTTCTTACTGTATGAAGTTTTTTAATTTTCTATTACATTATATTGTCTTGTACTATTGCAAAAAACCTCAATTTACTCAATTTTTTCCCATTTTTCTTCTCTGGTATTAACCATGTTTATAAAACTGTTACCTCTTCAGCCTATCCGGTCTCTGCAGTCTTCTTCACAGCCTGTTCAGTACTCTGCAGTCTCTTATCCACCCCCGCTCCTGCCAGTCGCATCTACCCAGCAATATTCTGTGGTACTATATCTTCTATTCACCTCTTCTCTGCATGGGTGAATCTTTAGTGGATGTTGAACTTTGATTAGTTTGTGTGAGGGTGTGTATAACACAAACACTGACTGGCTGCAATGTCAACTGCAGTAAAATAGTGCCCAAATGGAAAACCAGTTCCTAAGATCCTTGTATACTGTATGATATTTAAGGGCAGTATATATAATGGAGATAATTTTTCCCCTGCTACTGTTGCTCCCATAGCCAGACAACATTTATTTTATCATGCCCTTTTATTTTTCTCTCTTCCTTCCCTTCCTTCTCAGCTGTTATTTACTTTATTTGCTTTTCTTCTCTTAGCCCCACCCCAATCTCTTTCTCCTTTTGTTGTTTTTGTAGAGCACCTAGTTTTAGCCCTTTTGCCAGAGCAGTAGGAAGAGCTTCGCTGTTCCTCATTTTTCCCTCAGCATTCTTGCCCAGTGAAAAGGAGAGCTCAAGGTGTTCTGTCAGGTGCACTGGTTGGTCTTCTTACCAGCACAGCCTCTTCTTTCCAGCACTGGGGTTGCGTGTCGTAGAGTGTTAGGGCTTCACTCAAGGTGCGTGAGCAGGAATACCAGTCTTGATGCCAAAGTTAAGGGATGAAGTTGACTAGCAAAGCAGGTTAACTGAAGCCGGGGATTCCAGATATTTTACAGAGTGCGCTGGGGAATTTGCTGAAATGGCATTAAATAAATTTAGTAACATATATTTAGTTATAAAAAAAAATCTAGGGGGCATTTATTATATATAGTAATAATCTAATAAATAGGGTGTGTGGTATATACAGCACATGTAAAATAAATTAAATACTCTTACTTGAAGCAAAATACAGGACTATGTAGCACTTTAAAAACTAACAAGATGGTTAGTTTTCAAGATGATGAGCTTTCGTGGGCTAGACCCACTTCCTCAGATCAAATAGTGGAAGAAAATAGTCACAACCATATATACCAAAGGATACAATTTTAAAAAATGAACACATATGAAAAGGACAAATCAAATTTCAAAACAGAAGGGGGATGGGGGGGGAGGTGAATGTCTGTGGGCTAATGATATTAGAGGTGATAATTAGGGAAGCTATCTTTGTAATGGGTAAGATAACTAGATCCTTTGTTTAGACTCAGATGTAAAGTGTCGAATTTAAGCATGAATGACAGTTCAGAGGATTCCCTTTCAAGTGCAGATTTAAAAGGTCTTTGTAGCAGGATGCAGGTAGTTAAGTCATTGAGACAGTGTCCTTTCTGGTTGAAATGGCAAGAAACTCTTTTTTTTCTTTGTGATCCTGTCTGATATCTGTTTTGTGGGCATTGATCCTTTGGCGAAGTGTCTGAAACATTTGTCCAATGTACATAGCAGACGGACACTTTCGGCACATGATAGCATAAATTATATTTCTGGATGCGCAGGAATATGTGTTCTTGATCTTATAACTCACTTGGTTAGGTCCAATAATGGTATCAGCAGAGTGAATATGTGGACAAAGCATATTGATAAGCATAGATATGTATGTAGGCTGGTGTGGGGTGATAGTCTCCTATAAATTTACCAGAATGACATAATTGAAAACCATGAACGTTCATTCAAGTATGCTAATAAAGGCAGGATGGTATAAAATACTACATTTTTATTTTAATTCTCGAAATACAGTTTCAGCTGTAGTTGCTGTTAGTATCCTTCATTGCCTTAATTTTTAACCATACCTTTAAACAGCTTCTTACTCACTGTTTTAAGTCTTTTTCTGGGTGTGGTATCCACACACAAATTCGGAGACTTTTGACTACTGTCTTGTTGGTCAGCCTCATGAAAATTGGTTTGTTTTATATAGCATTTTTAAATTGTAAAGCACGGTCTGAAATAGTATTATTATCTGTAAAGTGAGAGCAAAACGAATCAAAGCATTACTAGTGGCTTTTTCTATTGAAAGTGAGTGTTTTGAGCTCTGCTGCATTTCAGGTGCTACATCCCTCCCTTATTGTACCTAAAAGGTTGAGTGTGGTGGGCTCACTGCTTATACAAGGTGTCAGTAATCAGTCATTGTGCACAGGCACTGAAAACAGTTTGATAGGACAAAAACGTTTTCAGTGCTGATGCAAGAAGTGTTCTTTGTTTGGCAGAAGCACATAGTGCATTAAAGCAATGTATACCATTCATATAAGAAGATATATTGTTTTCAGCATTAGTTTGGAAGGATTCATTGCTGACAGCCATTTTCAGCAACAGATCTATCTGTGTGCATAGAATAGGCCTTTGAATTTGCAGTCATGTATATTGCAATGTATAGTACATCTTCCATGTGTTTAGCCAGCATTAAGTAATTCAATAAGCCTATGAGATAAATGGGTATCATTCCACCAGTTTGGCATAGGGAAATCAAAAAACGAGTCACTTGTCCAAGGCTGGAATCTGAATCAGAGTCCATGTTAGAGCTGAAGGTTTCCTAGCTCCCATATTTCTGCTTTGTCATCCGACCTAATACATGTTTCTGTTACCCAGTAACTACCTACTTTTTAATGTATTTGTAGTTTTATATAGAGCTAATGTTTTGATCAGTATTGCTGGAATAATATAGAAGCCTGTTTCTAATAAAGTACATACATATTCATCTGACTTCATTAGGCTGTGTATAGTTAAAATCACTTGATTAATTAGAGTTATCTATATTTAGGTTTACAGCTTTGAAGGAAGAAAATAACTGCACTCTGAATTCTTTGATCCGTCAGTTAGTCTGATTTGTATTTAAGCTTTATTAAAACAGAAATTGGTGAAAGGCAGAGAATGGGATACATTGAGTAATGGGTACAAAGCAGTTCACCTATGTATACCTGGTTCAAATGCAGGCCATTCTGGTAGCATTATAAATTCAATTCTGTCTGATGGCTATTCATTCTCGCACAGTAAAATGGGTGACAGTCTCAGTCAGGAATCTAGATTCTAGGAATCCACAACTCCTAAAAAGACTGTGTTTGTTTGTTTATTGGTAATATCATCAAAAAGACAGCAGATTTAAATAGCCCATGAGGATTCAGCTACTGTATCATTTTTCTAGGGTGAACTCTCTAGCTCAGTTTAGACATTATAGGCAAAATAATGGAAATAACTTGCTCAGCCTCAGCCTACACTGCATGAATTTTTGGTGAATAAGTGTAAGAATTTATGTATCAGTCTCCTTATGAGCATCAACTTTCTTCTATATTTATTTTAAAAATTAAATATTGAAATATAAGGCCTAAGAACTAAGCTGGGTTGTTGAGTCAGTAAGCTGTCTTTAGGACATAAGTCAATGTACAAAATAGCTTATGGTGGCAAATAAACAGCTTAAAATTCACTTGTTAAAATATAATAAATACTTTCTGATGTGCAATTGAAAACTGCTAACGATTTTATTAGACATATCTTCACCATTGAGAAGACAGGATTTTATCATGGAACACAGGATGTTGTTCCACAAAATACAGAAGTCAGAAAAAATACAGAAACTATTTGTATGCAATGCAGATGGTTTTCCAAATGCTGTATTTTCTTAGCAGTTGAAGAATGTACGTAGCAGCCATATGATCCTCCTCAGGAGTAACTGAGGAGGGCCAGATGGTCATAACATAGCTGTGGCATGGTATCTGTGTGTCCACTGCCTTTTAGAAAGTTTTTTTTTCTAGCCCAATTATGTTAAACCTTTTAAAGATTTCTCCATTTGTGAGTAACTTCTCCACAATTAACCCTAATCATTACTACACAATTAACCCTAATCATAACTCATGTTCTTAAACACACTGTTCCATTTCTGTCCTTAAGCTTGCCTTGTCATTCTTTTTTAGTTTTAACATATGGTTATTGCACAGGCGCATGTTTTAATTTTTCACTTACTGAAGAATTTACCTAGCAACTACCCAGTTTCAGTTTTTGGGAATGTAACATTTATTTTCCTTTTTTTTTTCTATAGCAAGACAACCTAGGATCACAATTTAGCCATATGAGTCTTGCCCGTCAGCAACCAGCTGATGGTGCTGATCCTCACGCCACCATGTTCCAGTCCACTGTAGTCCTTCAGCCTCCACAACAATCTGGCTATGTTATAGCAGCAGCCCCACCGCTGCCACCACCACAAAGTCAACCAGTTCCTACTCCCAGCTATTCTGCATCCAGCCATCCTGTCAACCAGCAAGTGCTGCAGCAACAGGGATATATGCAACAATCTCTACCACAGGTACAAAGATTTTATAGTTTCTTCTCAGACAGCTATTTAAAAGATTATCCCTAACACTGTTAGTGAATATTTTATATTTCAGTAGATTTGTTTAGTAAACTTGATTTTTCTTAATTCCATGTTTTGATTTCCGTGGCTTACCAGGAATTCCTAAAGACTTAAAAACACACAGTATCATCGATATAGGTTGGACCTGACTGGTCCCAGACAAGGGGATTTACCGGACCAGGGAAGGTTCCTTCCTTCGTGGCTGTGCTGCAGTGGGGCTAGAGCTCCAGCCTGCTCCCACTGCTGCCTCAGCCCCCCTGGGGCTCTCACTGGCTCTGCTGCTGTTGAGGCCAGAGCACCATGGCCAGAGCTGCGCAGCTGGGGCAGAGCTCCACAGCCTCTTGGCTTCACAGCTGGGGTCAGAGCTCTGCAGCTGGGGTGGAGGGACAGGGATGGAGCTCCGTGGCCTGGCCCAGAGCTCCCTGGCTGGGACCAGAGGTCCATGACTGTGGCCAGCTTAGAGCTCCCCGGCTGCTAGGGCAGGGAGCTCTGCTGGAACTAGAACTCTCCGGCATGCAGTCTGTCCTCTCCCCTCCACACACTTGGCTGCAAGCTGAGTTGCTGATGCCCCTTATGGTGCTCCTGCCCTGCTGCCAGACTGCCCTCTTCCTGGGCTCTGTGGTCCAGAAACATCCGTGGTCCATGCCGGACCACAGATGTTGCCGGACCAGGGAATGCCGGTTAAGGAGGCACAACCTGAAGTGAGATTTTTAAATTACCAGTAAATATAACCAAATTTAACATATGTTTTTGTATATGCTTGGGCTCTGCACGTATTTTATTTAGCCTAGTTTTAAAGAGGACCACTAATATGTCTATCTTTAAAATGTTTACCATGAAGACGTATGTAGGAATTCTAATAATCTTTTTCTTTAATCCTCGATTCCAGTGGTTCCCAACCTGTGGTTCACGGATCCCTGGGGGTCTGCAGTGGTGCGCATCCTTTTTTCATTTGTGACCCCTGACTTGCCAGATGATGTCACCAAAAATACCAAATCACAGTGCTGCGACCCCCCATGAAGACAGCCGTGACCACGGGTTTTGCGCACCGCTGCTGTAGAGGGTCTACACAGATCCTCTCGCAGCCAGCATGTCCTTCAATCCATGTTGCTTCTCGTGGCTCAGGAAGCATTTGGAGCTGAGGGACTTTCCAGAAGCTATCATATCCTTCAGCCTGTGCTGCTTCCTCAGTGGGCTGAGGGACACTACTTGGGAAGCGCAGTGTGCTGAGGGACATGCAGGCACAGCTATTTTGTTTGGGGGGAGGCTCCATAACATTTTAATAGATTGAAAAGGGGTCCGTATCCTCAAAAAGGTTGGAAGCCACTGCCCTATTCAAGTGCTAAAAAACTCAAACAAAGCAGATATTTATTTTGGTAGGAGAGCTTCCTCTGCTTTTTCCAAAGAAGCAGCTAACTAAAACACATTGTCCTCAGACCTTGTTCAAGAATTTACTGGAGTTTACTGATGATACTTCTATATGGACAGAAATAAACAAAATGGAGCTGTTTTGATACAGTGAAAATAGAGCAAAATACTCTTACTAAATGGAGGATAACATCAAAATTGAATTCTCCCAAACATTTGAAATGATTGCATCTTTTATTAATTAGACATAGTGATCTCTAAATTGCCTTTCTGTGATTCTTTCAGCAGTGTTTTGCATTCTGCCATTTATAAGTCTAAAAATGTGAATCTTGAAAATGTTGCTCCTTTTTAGATACCAGCTTGTTATTGTGCTCCCAGCCAGTATTCACACTCCAGTCAACAATATCGACCTGTTACTTCTGTCCATTACAACGCACAGCAAAACCCACCACTGCCACAGCCTGCACAGCAGACAGGTTTGTAGAATTTTTTTCACTACTTTCTGTGCTTATGAGTGTTAAAGGAAGCTGCTGGTGTTGTCAGACGTGGAAGTCTCAGTAAAACAAATTTTGCTTGTAGTGAAGAACAAATTGAAAGAGAGTACAACTTTGTAGCAGTCCTAATATGAAGAATTGTGATTGTTCTTTAAATGTGTCCTGTGGTCATTGGTTGAAATCATTATACTCTCCTTTGTGTCATGGTTGATTGATTTAAATCTGCAATTTAAATCACCAAGTGGAAAGCCTTTATTTGAACTATCAATTGTAGTCATCTTTTCCATTTGTATTTCAGCGGTTTTCTAAAGAAAGTTGCAGTCACATTTGTTAATACAACTAGGGTTGCCAGGTGTCCAGTTTTCTACCGGACGGTCTGATTTTTGGACCCTTTGTCTGGTTAAAAAAAAATCCAGAAAATACCGGACATGTGCAATGTCCAGTATTTCTTGGTTTTCCTTCTGGGTGCTGGACGGAAGCCTGGCGGGGGTAGAGGGGAGTGACTGGGAGGCAGGGAGCCCTGGTTGCATGTGAGGAGGAGAGGCAGCCCGGTCCATGCTCCTGCGCACTGGTCAAGCGCGTGGTGGAGCCACAGCCAGACTGACTCGTGCGGGATGGGAGCACCCTGAGATCTGCACAGCCCGGGACAGTCCTACTCCCTGCCGGCTGATTCGCTCCCCTGCCCCCTCCTCCAGCTCTGCGTCCTGCTGGCTGCGTTCCTACTCCGGTTCTTCCCCGGCCAGTTCCTCTTCTCCCGCCTTCTCCCCTCCGCCGCTCCGCTAGCTCTGCGTCCCGCTGGCTGGTTCCTGCTCCAGATCTTCCCCGGCCAGTCCCTCTCCCTCCTGCCCCTCCGCCAGCTCTGCATCCCGCTGGCCGGTTCCTGCTCCAGATCTTCCCCAGTGAGCCCCACTGCGCCCCCAGCCAGCCCTGCTTCCAGCGGCCAGTTCTCCCCTCCTCCTGAGCTCCCCCAGAGTCCTTTTTTTGGGGAGGGGTGTTCGATATTTTTGTTTCAACCATCTGGCAACCCTAAATACAACCATTAAAACCACGTTGATTTACAGCTATGTAGAGCTTTTAAACTAAATTTGGGAAATCTTTATGATACTTTGGGAGAAATAGACTATAACAATATATATTTTTAAACAATTGTACAGCTCGGGGTTCTCAGACTGGGTTGAGATCCTAACGTGGGTCCCAACTCCATTTTAATGGGGTCACCGAGGCTGCTGTTGGCCCTGGGCACCAGCAAGTCGAAAGCAGAAGCCCAAGCCCCACTGCCCAGGGAAAAGTTTATATGTTCTTTGCCCAGGACAGAATCTCTTGGGCTCCACCTTTGCCCTTCCTCTCTCGTATGCTGAGGGGGTAATGAGGCTCTGGTGGTGAGGCTTGGACAGGCTCGGTCTTCAGTCCTCTCTCCTGGGCTCATGTAATAATTTTTGTTGTTAGAAAGGTGCCATGATGCAATGAAGTTTGAGAATCATTAATACAGCTTAGAATTTTAAGATTCTTATTAACAGTACATTTTTAGTGTGTTTTAAAATGGTGATTGGCATAGTGTATGTTTACTGGATAATTAACGTTTTGCTCATGAGTTGAATCAAGCTATGTTAGGATTGTAATTGGAATTTAATAAAACACACACAGCAGCACATACCTTTAAAATAATTTTGTTTAATAATGTGTTGGATATGTAAACTTCTTACCAAAACATGTTTCATGTTTACAACTTAATGATATGTTAACCAGAGGGATTAATAGTAGTCAGTGAATTAAAATAATTATTTCAGGTCACCTGGGAAAATTCCTACTTGTCTAAGTTTCTTGTCTATGTTTTTAGAAAATGAGAGACTCTCCTAAATTACTGTGCCAAGTCTCTTGCATATGGCAGCACAGCCTCTGGGTTCCCCACGGAATCAAGCCCTTAAATGTACATGAACTATTGTGCCATAAGAGGGCCTCCAACAGACTTTGCTGGGTTCTGGACAAAGTGAGGGCAGCAGCTCCAGACTCCCTGGAAGGGGTGGGGTCTCAGGCAGAAGGGAAGGGCCTGTTACTAGCGTCCCCTGGCCTGTCTTCAGTGTCGCCTACAGCTCTGTTTGCTATTTCAAGGGCCAGGGCTCCAGCAGTTGCTACTGTAGTAGAGGTTGGATTTCACTGGTCTGGCACCCTTGGGACCTGACTAGTCCCCAATGAGGGGATTTGCCAGACCAGGGAAGGTCCCTCCTTTTGTGGCAGTGCTGCCAACGGTCTAGGGCTCCAGTCTGCTTCTGCCTCAGCTCCCCAGGGCTCTTTCCAGCCCTGCTGCTACCAGGGCTGGAGCACCATGGCCAGAGCGGCACATGGGCAGAACTCCTCAGCTCCCTGGCTTCATAGCTGCCTGGCATTGCGAGTGCCAGGCTAGAGCTCTGCAGCCACAGTGGAGAGTCGGGGACAGAGCTCTGTGGCCTCGGTCAGGGCTCCCTGATTGCAGCTGGGGCTGCTGTTCTCCGGTTAGTGGAGCTAGAATGCATCTGGAACTCCAGGGACAGAGCCAGAGCTCCCTGGCTGCTGCTGGAGTCAAAGCTCCCCGGATGGGGCCCTGCCATGCTGTCCGTCCTCCCCTACATCTCTCCCCCCCCCCCCACACACACACACTGTCTGAGCTCTGGACTGAGTCGCCAGTGCCCCTTACGGCTCTCCTGCCCTGCCACCAGACCTCCCTCTTCCTGGGCTCTGTGGTCCTGGAACATCACTGATCCATGTCAGACCAGGGAGTCCCAGTTAAGAGAGGCAAACCCTGTTGCAGCATATCCATCCTGCCTTATGAACATTTCCTCTTTTTAGAAAGCTACTTTTCATTCTTCTTCTCTAAAGGTGCAAAGGCCCAAATGGGAAACATCGTGTATAACAAGATCCAAAATGAAAAGTACATATAAGTTTTTAACTGTGTAATTTGACCCATCAGTATAAATAACTCAAGTATTAGGATATTGTTTACTCTACCATAATAATACAGTAAAACCTGTGTTATCTGGCACACCCAGGCATTAGGGCATGCCAGTAGCCTAAAAATTTTGGTTATCTGGGGGGGGGGGGGCAGGAGCCGTGCGGGACCTACAGGAATGGGGGGGAGGGAGGGGCATGGGAGCTGTGCAGGGACAGGGACAGGCCTGCTGTGGCATAGGGGCATGCCAGTAGCCTAAAAATTTTGGTTATCGGGGGGTGGGGGGGCAGGAGCCGTGCGGGACCTCCAGGAATGGGGGGGAGGGAGGGGCATGGGAGCTGTGCAGGGACAGGGACAGGCCTGCTGTGGGGTTCTTGAGCCACAGGGGGTGGAAACTGAGAGATGGTGGGGACAGCCTGCCGGGGGACGGGATGGGAGCCGTGGAGGAGCTGGCCTGCTAGGGGTGCCAGGAGCCACGGAGGGAGCCAAGATGTTTGCTCCTTGTGTCTGGCTGCGGTTCGCCCCTCCCCCAGGCACATGCTGCACACTTGTCTGAGGAGCGTCCCAGCACTTAAAAGGCCAGTTTCCTTCCCTCTCCCCACAGTGACCTTTTTTTTTTGATGGATTCTACAGTTGTCCAGATGCTTAAGTTTCAGATAATACAGGTTTTACTGTATATCACCATGTGTTAAGGCTGTTAATTACTAGTACCAAAAAGCTGAAAACTAACTCTTGTGTGATAGATCTCCCTTGCTTTGTATAAAAAAGAGCACCCTGATACAAGAATAGTGGGCTTTGCAGAAATGTGGAAGAATAATTTCCCTTCTTTTCCAAGTGAAAAAGATGTGTTTTCTAATTCTTTATGTTTCAGAGTACCTTTGCTTTTGTGGCAGTACTTCAGGTACTGCGAATGAGAGAAGACTTTGATTGTTTAAATTTGCGTAAGTGCCTTCTAATGTTACTGAGCTGGGCCAGTTTGCTGTGGTTAACTGTTTTCTTATGGGTTCTGCCCACCTAAGATAATTTAGAGTAACAAAAATATGTGGGGGAAAAACGAGGAATCCTGTGGCACTTACAGACTCGGGGTATGTCTACACTGCAAAGTTAATTCGAAATAACAGCTGTTATTTTGAATTAACTTTAATAGCGTCTATACATGCAAACCACTATTTCGAATTTAATTCAAAATAGCAGAGCCCTTAATTCGAATTTGGTAAACCTCATTCTACGAGGAGTAACACCAAATTCGAAATGGCTATTTCGAATTAAGTGCTGTGTAGACACTTAATTCGAAATAGGGGGCCTCCAGCCCTTCCCAGGGAGCCCTGGTGGCCACTTTGGGCACAACCAGGAAAACTTACTCTCCTCTCCCCCAGCCCCAGAGCCATTAAAGGGGTAGACCCTGGCCACAGTGCCTGTGCCAACTCCAAGCCTGCCAGGCCCAAAAAACAGGAGCCAGAAAGCCACTGGCAGCCAGCCCTCCACCGCTCCCCAGGAGCAGTCTGCCAGCTACCAGGAGCCTGATAGGGGCTGGAGAAAGTGGGCGCCTTCCTGGTCCAGGGTGGAGATCATGGACCTTATGCATGTTGGGGGGGATGCCCCCAATGTCCATTATCTCTGCACTAGACGGAGGAATGCGGCCGTCTATCTGTGGCCGTCTATGGCAGGATAGCTGCCAGCCTGGCCACCAAAGGCCACATGCGAACCCAGGATCAGGTTAGCATGAAAGTCAAGTTGGTCTGGTGAGATCCCCAACGCTGAGCCCTGAGCTGCCCCTCCTCCTTCTTCCCTTGCTTCCCCCTTCCAGCTCCTTCCTCCCAGGTTTCTCCCTCCTCTCTTCCACCCTCTCTCTTCCCCTCTCCCACCTCCTTTTCCCAGTCTCCCCAGAGATTCATGCCCCTCCCCCCAGTTTTGTTCAATAAACCCAGTTTCTATTTTTGAACATACACGTCTTTTATTTGACATCTGGAAGGGGGGCTAGAGAGGGGTAAGTGAAAGTATGTGAGGGCGAAATGGGGCACGAGCCCCTGGTGAGGAAGACCGGAGGGCCTCTGAGGGC